GTGTTGGAGTTGTTGTTTTTAGTGTCTAACTGTAGGGAAGTAAAGGGTGTGTGTGTGTGTGTGTGTGTGTGTGTGTGTGTGTGTGTGTGTGTGTGTGTGTGTAAGCTGCCATCAGCGCCGTCCGTGAGAGCTTTGGAAAGCTGGTGCAGACTGATTGTTACAGACCACAAACTCAATCCTCACTTTCATTAGAGAGGACCATCACAACCTGCCTAAGATAATGCTGTCCCTCTGGCTGTCTGTCTGGGTGCCTCCCTGGAGTCACTCGAACACACACACACACACTTTGAACTCCAGGCCAATCATCCAGCTAAAGAAAAGTGCATTATGACGGTCACCTTCAGAGAACGGCCATTCTGTCCACCATTTTACCCAGGCATTCATTACCACTACAGAAAGCTCTTTTTCAGGCCTTTAACTCACTCGGTACCACCTGATTTCACCTAATTTATCTCACTAACCGTGGATAGGCTGCTCAATCACCTCCTTCCATCCACACCTCTCAGCTGTAGCATTCGATTATTTGCACCGTTGGGAAACATAAGGACGTTACGGCAGTGACTGTTGACGAATCGAGGCAGATTGAGTTCAGTTTGTTAGAGCAATGCTAAATACAAAAGTTTAAATTTTTGTTGCAAACATTGTTGGGGAAGTTGCTTTACAAGCTACAAACTGGCATTCAGGCAGTTGATTTCTTATATTATTTCCTATATTATGGTAAGCTTGAAAAAGTCTACCAATCCTCAATGTCATTTGGAAAAAAAATATTTTACATTTTAGAAATATTATTTAAATTATTTATAAATATGCATTATATAATCTACAATTATTTATATATAAGTAATGTATATGTCTTGGTACTGTAGTTCTTTGAATTAATTTTTTTATTATTTAATTTATTTTTAATTGATGTTTTATTATTTAATATACTGCTGTAGTAATTACTATATCTTTTCAGTTTTAATTTAGTTACAAAAATGATTTTTTTAATAGCTTTATTTTTAATTAACAATAACAGCACTGATTTAAATTTTTACTTACATTTTTGCTTTCATTACTTTTTTAGTTATACAATTTATTTGTATGCAAAAACTTTGAGGTGAATCTGGACATTTTCACTTAAAAAAAAAAATCTGGATTCAGAGACATTTTTAAGGTTATAAGGCTTAGGCTTGCCAAACCCACCTTACAATAGTGATGTATTTTTCCCTGTTCTATTGCAGGAGAGTAGTTACTCCAGTAGCTGTGGTCTACTTTGGTTTCATGTATCATTCTGCACTCTTTTTATTTTGGATAATAAAATAATTTGAACTCAAATCAATATTTTTATGTCCGTTGATATGTACATGGGCACAGTAGTAATACACAGGGTAATGCACTGTCTGTCATGATCGCAGTATAAACCCTTCAGAGTGATATAAGCTCCAGAATCGAATGCTTGAATCGGAGAGCACATTCTAGGAGATGTTTGATTATTTACTCATCTTACTCTGTAATGCAGTTACACAAAACAAGCATCTATGCCGCTACTTGTTACCATAATCACTACATCAGTACATTATTGTATTCAAGATACTGAAAAAAAGGATATGCTAGTTCTGTTGCTACTTTTAGTTTCTCCACAAAACTGGTGCCATATTTATGATGAAATAGAAGAACAAAGAGAGTGATGTAAGAAAAAAAGAGAGAGTCAAACGCTTTACTTATTCTTATTTTCCTTTGGTATCATGGTGATGAACATCTCCAGTTTTCCATTCAAATACACAGAGGCCTTTTTCCAGACAGATAAGAATCTAATTTTACCATGTGTGCGACGCTTCTGTAAATACAAAACGCTGGCACACAGCTGTGACCCTGATCTCTGCTATGATCTAACTTACTTCGGGCCAGGAACAGTTCGGATGATGCTTTTGAGAGAAAGAAATCACTCTGAAGCCTTGAATTGTCTCTCTTTGTGTTAGGCAAACAAGGACAAAGTTCCTTTTAACCCACACAGTATGAATAAGAAGAAATTGACATTAAAAACCAGTTAAAGTGATCTCTTGTTTTAATTTTTTGTTCTGCGTGCAGGCGATTGAGAAGAATTTGATCCGTAAGTCAAGCGGAGGGTTGACGTATATCGCTGAATGGAAAGGTGGACTCCTGGAGCATAAGATGGGTCACCTGACCTGCTTCGCCGGTGGTATGATCGCTTTAGGGGCGGACGGAGCCCCCGATGATAAGACGGGTCACCAGATGGAACTGGCGGCTGAGATCGCCCGCACATGTCACGAGTCTTACACCCGAACAAGTGAGTGGGAGAACTGCTTTGAAAATGTTGAAACAAAAACGTTAAACATTTACAGCAAAAAAGAAATAATGTTTTGTGGAAAGAAAAACAAGCCTATTTTTGTACCTTTTTTATTTTTCACCCCTTGCCCACCGATTCAGATATATAACATTTTTATTATTATTTGTATTATTGTGTAATTAAGTATTGTATTTCAGTTGAAAATTATTTACGGATTACATTTTTTTTAATGCAAATTGCTGTGCAACAGTAATGAAAATTACATTGAGATTGATGAGAATAACCAAAGTAAATCAAAAGCTCTTAAAGGTAACATAAAAATGATGCAGATATTTTGAGATGCATTACGGTAATGAAAACGAGATGTGTGTATTTATTTATTTATTTACTAATTGATTTATTCACAAGTAAACAGCTTATTTTTGTTCATTTATTCGTTTAACAGACACTTTTATGCAAAAAATACTTACAAAAAATTAGGAAAACAACAAGTGATTTATCATGAGGCAATAACACAATAAAATTCACATTTATTTACTTCTATAAACATTACAGTAGTGACATTTTTGTGGAAAAATGTGAAAGCAAAATAGTGTATGTAAGTATTAAATATTAAAAATATTAATTATGAAATGTTTGAATTATAGTTTTATACACTGTTTTTGCAGAACATTTTTGTGTTTGTCCAGCATGCCTTAAATACAGAGAATGTGATGCATTTTTCCACATCTGTGCTGTTTCCACATTTGTTGCTTTACTAGTCCAGTAGTTTGTTTTGCTGACTCTGTTCAGTGCTAGTATAATAGTCTCTAGTGAGAATTATAAAGTGCTCACCCATAAGTGAACTATCCTATCTATAATAGTCACATTGCCAATGTAGAGATTCCCTAAATTCATTGCTGTTAACCCTGAACACACACACACGCTCAAATCCCTTATTAAACACACACATACACAGTCATCGCCGGCCTGTTCATAATGCTTAGGTATTTTTAGCAGACACAGATTATCAGAGGTCCAGATTATGCCACAGCCCCTAATCCACATCCAAATACTGTTTCTCTTCATCTCAGGAACAGTGTAATCCCATAATCCATTGTCAACATGGACGTTTAAGCGATGAATTTGACAGCATGTGTGTTTCAGGTATGAAGCTGGGTCCCGAGGCCTTCCGTTTCGACGGCGGCGTAGAAGCCATCGCCACACGGCAAAACGAGAAGTACTTCATCCTGAGGCCGGAGGTCATTGAGACATACATGTACATGTGGAGGTTCACCCACGACCCCAAATACAGACAGTGGGGCTGGGAGGCGGTGCAGGTGAGAACTGTCGCGTGGCTTTCACACATCACTTATTACGTAACGCCACCAGTATGTGACTGGTAAACACGTCGCCACTTTAGGCTCAGGATGTAGGCCAGACTGTGAGTCACAGCTAGGCTTTGTCATGCCCTCAGACGCTCGCTGCACTTGAGCACAGCAGGATTAGAGACAGTGGAGACTGCCAGGATCTCACAGCCTTGTAATTGTATCATAATGACTTCAGATTGCCATTGTGATGTGTCTATCCCTTCAGGCGATACATCACATCTCTTCCACCCTC